GCTGCTCAGGCCTACACTTTCCTGAGCCAGAAGATCATTGTTCAAGTCCCACTTGTTCCAGAGATGTTATAACATTTCTGAGCAGATTGACATTAAAATATCTACAATGGCGAGTGTTTGCAATAATACTGTCGACTCAGTGTGAGCATCTGGTAAAAAGGGGGCTTCTGGTGGTGCAGGAATAATGTTCCCACATCTGGACAGTGAGGCCCAGGCTCAAGTCTCACCTGCTGTAGAGGTACATAATAATGTCTTTGCCTCAGATTCTCAACCTGTACAATGGGCCAAGGGATGGGAAATTGGAAGAGAATGGATATGTGCTTAATGGACACACTGGTCCAAAGGGCCTCCTTCAATGCTGTAATATTGAATTCACTCATGGTGTAGACAATTTTTGTATTGTTCTTTACTGCTCACCACTGTTGGTTGTTACTGGCTTTGTAATTGTAAAAATCCTATTAGAATAATTGAATAGGATATCTCCTCGTCCTTGTCCTCGTCCGCCACCACCACCAACCCCCCCATCCCCCGCAATTGTTCACTCCGAAGTCGAGGCCAAGGGATTTCAATATTCGTTAATGGAGTGTGGATGTTGCAGGCCAGGCCGGTATTTGTTTACCATCCCTAATTGCCCAGAATGCAGTTGAGAGTCAACTGCATTGCCATAGGTCTGGAGTCACATGTAGGCCAGACCAGATAAGGATAGCAGTTTCCTTCCCTAAAGGACTTTAGTGAACCAGATGGATTTTTCTGACAATCGGCAAAGGTTTTATGGTTAAGTTAGACCCTTAATCCCGATTTTTATTGAACTGAATTCAATTCCCACCATTTGCCATGAGTCCCCAAGACATTACCTTGGTCTGTGGATTAACAATACTACTAGGTCATCACCTCCTCAATAACTTTTATCTTTAAAAGTTATATTTCCACAAGTTGTGCAACTGATCACGTACATCTGCTATGGAACCATTAGAGGATAAAATTACATTTGAACCTGTCTGTAATTTAAAACGAATGTAGTCTGGAAATTGATCAATATTTAGTTCATTGCAATGATTAAAGAACAGAGTGGATTTTTAAAGTTTATAATTGAAGCACATGCCAAGCAAAGAATTGGACCCCTATAGCTTTTTTTGCTCTGTCATTCGTTTCATTATCGGTTTTTGCTGAAAGTGGGTCCAAAGATCAGATCATGTATATGTTTAAAAGAATTCCATTTTTAAGAGTGCTTATCCTGGATGCTGAGGTAATTGCTATCTAAATTTCTTGCCTGTATAGAAACCAGCAACAGGAGTAGGTCATTTGGCTCTTTGAGTCTGTTCCACCATTCACCATGATCATGGCTGGTCCGCATCTCAATGCCATATTCCTAATTTCTCTCCATACCCATTGATGCCTGTAATTTCTAAAAATCATTCTTCTCTCTTGTGAATATATTCAGTAACCTCCCCTCCACACCATCCTGTGGTAGCAAATTCCACTGTTGATCACCCACTAAGTGAAAAAATGTTTCCGCACTTTAATCCTGAATGGCCTACCCCTTATCTTGAGACTGATTCCTGTTTCTAGATTCCCAAATGAGAGGAAAATGTCTTGTCTGCATAGAGTCTGTCTAGCCCTGTTTCAATCCAAACTTCTCTCATTGTTCCAAACTCTACTGAATAATGAGCAGGCAAACCAATCTCTCTTCATATGACAGTCGTGCTGTTCCTGGTATCAACCTAGCGAACCTTCACTGCACAGTCTCTAAGATAAGTATATTTTCCTTTAGGTAGGGCAACCAAAACTGCACAGAATACTTCAGGTGTGGTCACACCGAGGCCCTGTATTATTGTGGTGCAACATTCTTACTTCTGAACTCTCATTCTCTTGCAATGAAAACCAATATACCATTTGTTTTTTCAATTGCTTGCTGCACCCACCTGTTTACTTTCATTTAAAGGTGTACAGTTCACCTAGATCCCTTTTACATCCATGTTTTTCAATATATCTCCATTTAAGTAATACGCTGCATTTCAGGTTTTCACACTGAAGTGTATAACGTCATATTTATCCACCTTATACTGCATCTGCCATGTGTTAAGACATTGTGAAAGACTGGAGGCAAAGCACTGAACCCTGTGACACTGCCTGGCACCTGGAAACACTCCCATTTATTCCCACTATCTCCTTTACTATTTGGAATCAATTCCTACCAAATTTTGTTTTCTTTATGGATTTATAACAGTTGCTTTCTGAAGTTTAGAAATTAGAGGAATATGGGATGCGTTATAGAGAGGAGTAATTTTCAGAGTGGCACCCATTGTAAACCACTGCTTACCAGTGGTAAACTTTTCTTCCGTGTGATGTTTTCTTTCCCCCATGTTTGTTTTGGTCACAAAGTTGAATATTATTCAGTTTGTAATCTTTTGCTTTAGTTCCATGGTGCACCATGTTAACAAATGATGTTGAACCAATTTTTGAGAGTATATCTTCCGAGACAGGAAATTAGTTTAACGTTTAGGGATTTCCCTGCTATAGTTGCTAAATAAACTAGCAAGGAGCAGCATGGCTTTTTGGAAAGAAATGAGTTCCTTTACTAAAATTTTTAGCTTTTGAATTAATATTAATATCATCGCAAGGAATGTCACTTCTTAGTATGAGCATTCGTAAGTTGGACTTTGATAAATCAGGGACTAGATGTATGAGGTTAAAATAATTCTGAGCTAGGCCACAAGCTTACACATGAGGTCCTAATCTTTGCACGCTCATATTTGTGCAAGGATCTGGTATTAATTTTAAAGATCTGACATCCGATCTTTTGCTTTTTATTACAAATGGCTATTGTATTGTGTTCTGACTTGCTTGCAAATCAAGTTACAAATGTACTCAAGAACAGAATCCATTCATAACCTGGGGAGAGTGGTAGACACTGTCCATGTGGACTTCAGCAAGATGTTCAACAAGGTTCTGCATGGTTAGCAAGGTTAAATCATGTAGAATCCAGGGAGAGCTAGCTGTTTGGATACAGAAATGGAACAGGATGGTGGTGGAGGGTTGTTTCTCCGATTGGAGGCCTGTGACCAATGATGTGCTGCGAGGATCAGTGCTGGGTCCACTGCCTTTTGTCATTTATGTAAATGATTTGGATGTTGTTATTATAGCAGTACAATGGGCTGATGGAGTTTAATTTCAATAAATCTGTGGTGTTGCATTTTGGTAGGGCAAATCCGTGCAGGATTCATACACTTAATGATAAGATCTTGGGGAGTGTCGCTGAACAAAAGGTCCTCTGGATTGCAGGTTCATAGTTCCTAGAAGGCAGAGTCACAGGTAGATAGGGTAGTGAAGAAGGGGCTGTGCTCTGAAAGCTCGAGAGTTCAAGTAATCCTGTTGGACTATAACTGGTGTCCTGTGACTTCTGACTTTGCTCAGTGCATTGAATATAGCAGTTGGGGGGTCATGTTGCAACTGTACAGGACATTAGTTAGGCCACTTTCGGAATACCGTATTCAATTCTGATCTCTGCTTTAGGAAAGATTTTGTTAAACTTGAAAGGTTTCAGGAAAAATTTACAAGGATGTTGATGGGGTTGGAGGATTTGAGCTATAGGAGAGGCTGAATAGGCTGGGGCTATTTTCCCTGGAGTGCTGGAGGTTGAGGGGTGATAAAAGAGGTTTATAAAATCACGAGGGGCATGGATAGGGTGAATAGCCAAGGTCTTTTCCCTGGGGTGGGGGAATCCAAAACTAGAGAATTATAGGTTTAAGGTGAGAGGGGAAAAGATTTAAAAGAGACCTAAGGGGCATCTTTTTCACGCAGAAGGTGGAGCGTGTACAGAATGAGCAGCCAGAGGAAGTGGTGGAATTGGGTACAAGTACAACATTTAAAAGGCATCTGGATGGGTACATGAATAGGAAGAGTTTAAAGGGATATGGGCCAAATGCTGAAAAATGGGACTAGATTAATTTGGGATATTTGGTCCGCATGGGTGATTTAGACTGAAGGGTCTGTTTCCCTTCTGTACAACTCTTGACTCTATGACTGTCTGTCTGTCTGTAATTGGCTGTTACCAAGAAACCTTACTGCCATCTCTGCAACACACTTTTCTACCTGTTTCCCCACCCACTAAAGCCTAAAATATCGTAATTCTTTTTGTCAGTTCCAGGTTTGATTTTTCTTAACACTACTCTGGCTGTTCACCACTCCGCCACCTATATCACTGCCTGTACAAAGTTCTAGTTAACATACATTAACTCTCCATTATTCAGTACGCATGTTTTCAAATCCTATTCCTTGTACAAATGGTCTCATGCCCCCTCAAATTTTTTTCCTATGAACCTTTTCCTTAATTTCTAGCCTGTGCACCATCTCTCTAATCCAGTATTTGTAGCAGAGCTGTCAGCTGTCTTAACTTGACATTCTAACTTTTTTTCTTTTTTTCCTTTTTTCCTTTTCTACGAGCATTACCTTGCTTCCTGCTGGAGAAAGCAAAATATTCATTCTGCATTTCTGAATTTTTCCGTTGATCTTCACTGTTTATTTAACTTCTCTTTAAAAAAAAAACACATTGGGATCTTCCTCTACTTTTGCACTTCCTATATAACTATACCATTATGTGGTTCTACATTTGTGGCATCTCTTTGCCTCCTTCTACTATGCTACTTCTGTCTTTCCAATTTCCAACTTGCTCCGGGGTTTATTCCTGGAATGTGGGTGGTACCAGTAAGACAGTTCTTCCTGTACCCTACAAGTTGGCCTGAAGGTATATCTACTGTGTAATATGAGATTGGCAAAACTGGTCAGATTGGTGATTCTTTTCCAAAGGACATCAGTGAACCAGTTGGTCATTTTATCTCCGTTATTTATGAATTTCTTTTTCCCAACTCCCTACTGAGAGATTTTAACATTGACTTGCTAGCCCAGTCCCAAAACACATCATTTATTTCCATCTTTCTTGCTTTCAAACACTTGCTCTGAATCTTCTTGAAGTGAGTGGACTGTTGACATCTTTTGGAGCCATGGTTCAAGATGTGTCAGACCATTGTGGAAAATGGAAAATTGAGAACACAACAGTAAAATATGGCTCTGTTGACATTTTTAAATATCATCAGCATGCCGGCTCCAATTATACAACTGATAAACAGTGTTACTGGTTTCAGAGAATTCTACACACTATGGTGCAGCTGTCAAACAATAAAATCACATGAAAATCAGATGTGGTACATAGCTTTGCACAGGTTTCAGACACGTCGATTCTTCTGTTTTCTGTCAATGCAAATCATCAAAAGTATTTGGAGCAAAAGTCACTAAATATCTCAATTTTTATGTAAATGTTATAAATGGAATATTTACCTTAAAGTAAGTTTTATATTTAAAATGAGCATCTAAATGGAAAGTGGTGCACCAAAGGACAATTAAGGGCCAGTTGTTTTTTAGTCTGTTGCATTTTTCTCCATGATTAATTTTAATCTCATTTAACAATTGAATTGAAATTGCTGTCATGTAAGAAAAAATGATGCTGGCAATGTAATACTTAATTTATTTTCTTCTTGTTTCTTTTAGTCTCTTTCAAGTACTCAGTCAGACATGACACAGATTAGTGGCCAAAATGCTCAATTAGCAAGTAGTGAAGAGCGACAGAAGTCACTGGACCAGCAGCGGATGCAAGAGAAGGCCAATCGCATTGTGGCTGAAGCAATTGCTAAGGCTAAAGCTCGTGGTGAGCAAAATATTCCCAAGGTGATTGATCAGCTGGTGATCTCAAGCACTGCAGTGGATGGTTCAACTGAAGAGAAAAAGAAAAAGAAGAAAAAACCAAAAGAAAAGAAAGACCCCAAGGAGCCCAAAGAAACCAAGGAAAAAAAGCCCAAACCGACAGCAACTAAAATCAAAAGCAACAAGAATGCAAGGTATAACATATGATTTTTTTTCTATCACAAGATTGGCAGCTTTAAATTTTTGCTTTGTCTGGACTGAACTACTGAACTTTTGCCATAACTATCCAGAGACTGTTTAAGATAAAAAGCGAAAGAACTGCAGATGCTGTAATTCAGAAACAAAACCAGAAATTGCTGGAAAGGCTTGGTTGGTCTGGCAGCGTCTGTGAAGAGAAATCAGAGTTAACGTTTTGGGTCCGGTGACCCTTGCTGCCAGACCTGCTGAGCTTTTCCATTAATGACTGTTTAAGGTAGTTTGGTTTATGCTTCATTGAGGAGTATTCCTCCAATCTACTGATTATTTTATTGCAGATGTAGATGACAGAAGAATAATAATATCCCATGTGAATAATTCAGCATTGCATAGAATTACCAGAGATGAAAGCTGCTGAAACAACAGAACTATGGAAAGCTAAATATTTTAATATAAATTTGATACCCAAAAAGGAATTGACCTTGACTTTAGTCAAAAGTTCAGAATAAGGCAATGTTTCTAAAACACTAGAGAGTAATTGCTGTGATAAACAACAACTTCTAAACATGTAGGTGCTAAACATACCAGATACTCAGTAGAACAAGATGGATAAAACTATTATTATGCCCTATATGCAACAGATTGCTGAGGAGGAAAGATGGTAAAGACTGCATAAAATTCAGACTCGCTAATGCTGAGTCATACATAAGTTGCAAGCACGAAAAATGGAATCTTTGAATAGTTGCTGTTGGCTTCAGTAATTTTAAGGGGGTAATGGTAATTTTAACCGTGAAGTTAAATTTTGACATCCTGCTGCATACAGTAAATATGTTAGTTCTGCTTTGTAAATTTATTGAAGATTTTATTACTGTGCTTGAAGCAATGCAGGGCAGGTTTGAAACAGATGTGATTGAAAGTTTATTTGCCTTTGTGTGCTTTATTTTTACTTTGATCACCTTTGTGGGTTATAATGTGGGTGAGTTACTTGAAGAAACCAGGCATTTCCAGCTTTCAGAACTGAACTGGATCCTTGAGTTGTGATTGAATTGTTGTTGAGTTGGCCAGAATTATTGTTTTCATGGTTATTAAATTACTCATTATTGTTGAAATTAAATTTTACTTCATTTTCCCCCCTGCTAGACGTTTGAAGATCCAGCATGATGTTAGGGAATTGAGAAAAATATTTCTCAATGCTTTTCTAATTAGTATATCGATTTATGATGAATGCATTGAATTTACACCGCTTATTATTTAAAATTAATATTCAAGGAAGTTTACATCCAAAATATGAAAAAACAGCTGTAAAAGTTAAATTTATACCTTTTTTTGCACTTGAGATGCTAATCTTGAGAATTACAGTTATCAGTTGATGCCTATTCCAATTCCTCCTAACTAACTGTTACCATGGAATAGAAAATGCTTTAACTTGGATCAATGCCAGCAAAGATATATCATCAGATATCTGACATAATTGGAAAAAATACTCAACTTCCTAAATTAATTAAGGCACAAGTGCTTTGTTACATAGGATTTAGCGCAGGTTAGTGCATTTGCCTAATGGCTTCAATAAATTGAAAACTATGAAAATAGTGTTCAATGTCATTGGAAAAATAACAGCAAATTTGACATTAAGTTAGGTCCTTCCTTCCCTTTTCGAAGTAATTTGGCAAATTTACAGATGTGCTTTTGAAAAACATCTATTAATGAGTGAGTGGGGGCTGCACTGTGAATGAGCTAAATGACCATGTCAGTGTGGCACAGGAAGCTCGTCAAATGGAGGGATCGTACGGAGGAATGTAATGATACTAAGAGACAGTATAGTCAGATGGATTGACACTGCTGCCTGCAGCAAAGATTTGAGAGTCCAGGTGGTAGTGTTGCCTGCTTGATGCTAGGGTTTTGGAGATCTGCTCAAGGGTGGAAAGTAGTGTTCTGTGGGAGGGGGTGGATCCAGTTGCTGTCATCCCTGTAAGTACCAACAATGTCATCAGGACAAGAAGAGGTTCTGCATAGTTACTCTGGTACCTAACTTCTCATCTTAAGAACAAAATCTTCAAAGGTCATAATCTCTGTTTATTATCATGGTCATATGCAAATTGGAAAGGTACGTTGGATTAGAGACATGGATATGTTGCTCAAAGAAAGGTGCACAAAGTGGGTTCCAGATCACAGGGTACTGGCAGCAATACTGGGCATATTCTGGGTTCTGTACCGATAGGATGGTCTCCAATTGAACTGTCATGGTGTTGCAAAATCATGAAGTAGGGAAGATTTTAAACAAAACACTGGGGCAAAGGATCAAATGTCGAAGATTTGGTAAAAGAATAGAACCAAGGTCAAAGAGAATAATATAGGAAATGATACAGATTGTTAAAGGAAGGCTTAACAAGTACAAATCTAAGAATATAATTTCTTTATAAAAACTTACCTTGTGAAGCAGCGGCCGCCTTGCTTCAGCGGCGGGACTGGTGAGAGCACGAGCCAGGAAGTGAACTATTATATTCGGGCATTGGCTAAACCAAAATACTACACGTGTAGTGTCTCCCACTCGTCGTCCTCCTCTAACCAAAAAAAAAACTGTGGAGGGTCAGTAAGGTAAGGTTTTTTCTTTATTCTTTTGGAAATCTAGAGTAGAAGGAATGGAAACTAGGGCAGTTGCATGCTCCTCTTGTAGGATGTGGGAGGTAAGGGTCACTACTGGTGTCCCTTCTGACTTCACCTGTGAGAAGTGCACCCAACTCCAGCTCCGCACAGACTGCGTTAGGGAGCTGGAGCTGGATGAACTCCAGATAATTCGGGAGGCTGAGGGGGTGATGGAGAGGAGTTATAAGGAGGTGGTCACACCTACGGTACAGGACAAAGGTAGCTGGGTGACTGTCAGGAGGGGGAAAGGGAATAGGCAGACAGTGCAGGGATCCCCTGTGGCCGTTCCCCTCAATAATAAATATACCGTTTTGGATACTGTTGGGGGGATTGACCTACTAGGGGAAAGCCATAGTGGCCAGGTCTCTGGCACTGAGCTTGGCTCTGTGGCTCAGAAGGGAAGGGGGAGTATAGGAGAGCGATAGTGATAGGAGATTCACTGGTTAGGGGAACAGACAGGAGATTCTATGGTACTGAGCGAGACTCCCGGATGGTACGTTGCCTCCCGGGTGCCGGGGTCAGGGATGTCTCGGATCGAGCCTTCAGGATTCTTAAGGGGGAGGGAGAGCAGCCAGAAGTCGTGGTACACATCGGTATCAATGACATAGCCAGGAAACGGGATGAGGACCTGAAAAGTGATTATAGGGAGTTAGGATGGAAGCTGAAAGCCAGGGCGAGTAGAGTAGTAATCCCAGGATTACTACCAGTGCCACGGGCTAGTGAGGCTAGAAACCGAGAGAGAGCGCAGCTGAACACGTGGCTACAGAGCTGGTGTAGGAGGGAGGGCTTCAGGTTTGTGGAGCATTGGGATACCTTCTGGGGATGGAAGGACAGTTGCACCTGAACTGGAGGGGCACCAATATCCTGGGCGGGAGGTTTGCTAGAGCTCTTCGGGAGGGTTTAAACTAGTTTGGCAGGGGGATGGGAACCAGATCTATGGATCAGAGGATGGAGTAGCCAGTGTACAGATTCAGCAAGCAGAGAATCTATGAGGAAGGATAAGCAGTTAATAGGGCAAAGTGGCAGTCAGTGCGACGGGTTAAGGTGTGCCTACTTCAATGCAAGAAGTGTCAGGAATAAAGGTGACAAACTTAGAGCATGGATCAGTACTTGGAACTACGCTGTTGTGGCCATTACGGAGACTTGGATAACACGGGGGCAGGAATGGTTGTTGGATGTTCCGGGGTATAGATGTTTCATAAGAAACAGGGAGGGAGGTAAAAGAGATGGGGGAGTGGCATTCCTGGTCAGGGATGGTATCACAGCTGCAGAAAGGGAGGTCGTGGAGGAGGGTTTCTCCACTGAGTCAGTATGGGTGGAAGTCAGAAACAGGAAAGGAGCAGTCGCTTTATTGGGAGTTTTCTAAAGATCCCACAATAGCAACAGAGACACTGAGGAACTGATTGGGAGACAGATTTTGGAAAGGTGGAGAAATAATTTGGTTGTTATCATGGGCGACTTCAATTTCCCTAATATAGACTGGAACGTCCTGAGTGCAAATAGTTTGGATGGAGCAGATTTTGTCAGGTGTGTTCAGGAAGGATTTCTGACTCAATATTTAGATAGGCCGACTAGAGGGGAAGCCATATTGGATTTGGTGCTTGGCAACGAACCGGGTCAGGTGTCAGATCTCTCGGGAGAACATTTCAGTGATAGTGATCACAACTCCCTGACTTTTACTATAGTCATGGAGATGGATAGGAGCAGACGGTATGGGAAAGTATTTAATTAGGGGAGGGGGATTACAGTGCTATTAGGCAAGAACTACGGAGCACCAATTGGGATCAGATGTTCTCAGGAAAATGTACGATAGAAATGTGGAGGTTGTTTAGGGAGCAGTTGCTACAGGTACTGGATAGGTTTGTCCCACTGAGGCAAGGAAAGGATGGTAAGGTGAAGGAACCTTGGATGACAAGACATGTTGAACACCTAGTGAAGAGGAAGAAGGAAGTTTACTTAAGATTGAGGACGCAGGGCTCGAGAGGGCTACAAGGTAGCCAGGAAGGAGCTGAAGGATGGACTTGGGAGAGCTTGGCGGTAGGATCAAGGAAACCGCAAGGCTCTCTATACTTATGCGAGAAACAAGAGGATGGCCAGAATGAGGGTAGGGCTGATCAGGGATAGTGGAGGGAACTTGTGTGCGGAGTCAGAGGAGGTAGGGGAGGTCCTTAATGAATATTTTGTTTCAGTATTCACCAGTGAGAGGGACCTTGACGTTTGTGAGGACAGTATGGAACAGGTTGATGTTAGGAAGGAGGATGTGCTAGAAATCTTGAAAAACATGAGGATAGATAAGCCAGACGGGATATACCCAAGGTTACTACAGGAAGCGAGGGAGGAGATTGCTGCCCCTTTG